AAATGAACCAGGGGGTTCTCTAACTTAAAAAAACTATCCTGAAGGACAACGAAGATACTGTGTTGGCAACTGATGACTTTAAAGAAATAGTTTCAAAAATGAGACCTGTGAAACAGATGAATGTAAACAAAGTCAAGCTTGCAGGATTGCAAAGCTGATGGAGAACTGTGTACAGTAACTGCGGGGATGGGTAGTGCTACTGAGGGGCTGTGGGCACAGTTCAAGAGCTGCAGCAGTACCGACGGTTCAGTTTGGTTGCGGTAGCCCTGATTTGGGAGAGTGGTGGGGCTGCAACCATTTATAGCTGTACTTGAAGTTAATGAATGCCAGAGTCTTTGCTCCCATTTTAAAATGTGTTTTCTAGCCTTGAGATAAAAATGAATGGCCATTACAGCTAAAAAATTGAATTTTTCTTGGAATCTGTGTGTCTGACGTCTGTCAAAAACCCGTATGAAATGGTCTTACGTACTTGACTTGCTTTAGAGCCTAGAATGTTACATTTTTCCTTTGCACTAAGGCTCAAATAAATATATAACAATGTAACAAAACAGTCTTAAAGCTCTTCAAGTCACTGGTCTTCTTGTTTTTCTTATTATATTTTGTGGGGTTTTTTTTGAGTTAGGACATATTGTTAGTTTTAAATTAAAGTTGACTGTATGTTTAATATTAAGCAAAACACTGTGTTAGCAATTGGTCCCACCCACATGATTGCCTTTTTGTATTTTATCAGCAAGAAGTATTTATCTCCCTCTGTTAAACAAGTGCATTGCTAGGTCAACAGTCAGCTTGTTTGAGGTTGTTTACAACCGTAACATAAATCTGTGTTGCTCTTGCTTCTTACATAAAGTTACCTTCTTGCGGCTAGGAGAGGCATGCTGCCTTTGGGGAAAAAAAAAAAAAAAAGATTATTTTTTATATCTCTTATTCTTAAACTTCAACTTTCTGGGACTTATTCAGCTGCCTGCTCTAATAGCATTACATTGATTTGGGACATCATATGATTGAGAGCTGTTCAAAGCAATCTTTCATTCGTGCAGATAAAGCCAGTTTGTATGTGCAGCATTTCAGAATGACAGCTTTTATATTGTAAGCAGTGGCTTTTTGAGCACATTCATGTTAAGTAGGTCTGAAAGTCATTACTTTTGGATATGGTGGTTAAGCACTTTAAAAAAAAAAATAAAAATCAGCTTTTCTTATTTTCCTGGCTGCTAAGCCAAACGGAAATACTCATGTGACTTTTGTTGTTTTTTATTTTAAAGCAGCAGTAAAGTTTACACTTGAGATTTTTAATATTACATCTACTATTTTCTCCTTTTTCTTCTTCCCCCCCTTCCCCCAGATTTGTACTACTAACTTTCTTTACACAGTATTATATTTTTGGTAGGAGTTTCATATACAAATTGATTGAATTCTCTTTATACTCCCTTGTTTCCTAGAGAAATATGGAAGCACACAGATTGTGTTGAAGGAGAACTAGAATTCTTTTTGCTGCTAGTCTTTCATCTTGGTTTATTTTTGCCTTTTTGGTATTGTATGTACTAACTAGGATGAACTTTGAAATACTAGTCGTTTGTATCTTTTTGTGCAAATAAAGATTTCTTACTGTGGGGTAGCACTTTGATTCATATTTATACTTGCTAGAAAACCTCTAAACATGGAAAGTCAGCTCTAATAAAGATTGTCAATAAACAGTGAACAGTGTGGTTACTTAATTGCTTTGTTTATAGTAGTTTTATGCTCCTGCTGTTCTGCGTTTTTGTTCAGAGGCACCTGCTTATTATTCCTCATTACGCCTTTTGCAGGAAAACGGCATCAGAAGGATGTTTTCAAAGCAGTGCTGCGCTGGATTACAGAACAAGCGAACTGCAACTGCTGAGGAAGGGTGGTGTTTCAGCTCAGCCAAAGCCTGCGGAAGTGTATGGGAAGGCTCCTGTTAGTTGCAGCGGAGTTTCTTGCACGGGTGTGTGTGGGTAAGGCTAGCGGGGATGACTTGCTGTCTTTGTAGGGAGAGGCTCTTGGTTGCCTGCACTGGCCACTCTTTCAGTTTCAGCAGGCAGGGTGTTGGATTGCTGTTGAGCTGTAAGATTTCTTTAAAAATGGCAGTGCAGTGCCTCACCATGGAGAGAGCCGGGTGTCTCACCTGATGGCAGTAGCCTTGTGCTCTAGTGGTAGGATGTGGATGTCTCCAAGGCAAATTTAAACCTTCAGTGTGTCACTTGCAAGAGTCTTCCAGAAAGGCTGGGAGAGTTGTAATGCCAGCGTGTGAGGTGCGGCTACAGCTGGGAAGCTGGGAATCGTTCTGGTTGCCTCTATGCTTGGGAGAGGGACTTGAGAGGGAGTAAGCATGGGAGAAGGGCAAGTGGGAAGAGGGAGGGATTTAGTCAATGAGTGGAGCAGAGGGTCAGAGAGTGATTGAGGGTGGAAACGAGGGTCTGTGAGCACCCTCAGAACAAACTCTTTTGGAGGGAGAGGCTGCTGAAGTTCACAGGTAGTTGAGAGACCCTGAGGAAAAGTGGGTACAAACAGGGCCTTGATTGCAGCTGAGCTGGAAAGGGGAGGTTCTGGCTCCTCGGTGGAGGTGTGGCTGGGAACAGATAGCAGGGAGATGGAGCAGCTGAGCGCAGGTCCCCCACTGGTCTGTGATGGGACATGCAGGTGGGCTGCCTGTGCAGGTGGTGAATGGAAGCAAGTAGTGGGATGGCAACAGGGACTTGCTTCTGAGTTACTTAAAAGCAACTGCTTGCTTCTGGGAGGCTGCCTGAACTGTGTGATGCTGTGGATGGTGTTGAAGTAATCCTGGTTCAAAGGTTCTTTACAAAGCTCCTGTTTTATTTCAGGCTAAGTGAGGGTTCCTATTCAGCATTAAATGGGGGACTTTTTTCTTTAAAGCAAAGCAAAAATACTGGGGTTTTGTGTAATGGCTACTTTTTTCCCATCTTTATTAAATGCCTGTTACAATCACAAAATGGCTTCAGCTTCCTCATGTTTTGCTTCTGGTGCTTACTGTCCAGTTAATCAAGTACCATCAAATCTACTTGCATTTCTGCTAATTTATACATTAGTCTTCATGCCCTGAATATAGAGTTTCTCTGGAATGATAAGCAAAGATCAGCAAAGTCACTCCACTCCTAATCAGAATGTATGGGTAATTTACCAATTTTTGTTCATATTTTGGTGTAAATTTTCCTTCTGGGTCTGGTGTAAGCATTTTTAGCCTGGTCTTCATTAGGTTTGTGCGGGATGCACCTTCTGTATTTTTGCCAGTGTAAAAAAAAATTGCACATTGGAAGAGCAGAGCCAATAAATTCTGCAACTTCTCTGAAGCATTGCTTCTCCCAGCATTGCCATTAGTGTCTGTGGCTACTTGCTGGAGACAGCCAGGATGATTTATGTGCAACTGGCAACCTTGTGTGGCGCCAAGAGTTGAAATGTGGTTGCTATCTTGGAGACCCTAGCCCTAATCCAAGGCAGAAATAACAGAAGGGAAGAAAATGGGGGGTGATGTGATTCATGACCATGCCAAGAGTTGAAATGCGGTTGCTATCTTGGAGACCCTAGTCCTAATCCAAGGCAGAAATAACATAGAAAGGAAGAAAATGGGGGGTGATGTGATTCATGACCAGAGTCAGTTATGTGATAACCTTTTCCAAGTGCAGGTGCTTCATACGGAGTTACCAGCATCTCTGCTGGTCACCCAGGGGGGTTCCTGGCATGATCTGCACCAGGACTGGGTGTGTGCTTAAGGAGCTGCCTGACCAGTGTCTTCTGCTATGGCACACAGCTTCAAGCCCTTGCAGCTGCTCTTCTTGAAAGATGGTGCTGGTACAAAATAGTTTCCCCCAGCATCTGCTCTGGGTCCAGAGGAGCTGCCTGTGGCATTTGTGATTTCTGCTGGCTAATGTGAACATGTGGGAGCACCCACAAGCGCACACGCTTCTCCAGAGGTGCAGTGGGCCAAGATGGACGTTGCAAAGATTAGGTAAGAGGGAGGTTTTTGTTACTTTCAGCCTTACACAGAGAAGAAAAAGCTGCAATTTTCTCCCAGATAAAACAACTTCCCCACCCCAGTTTTCCGCTGCATCCTTGCTTTGATGTGTTTGTGTATGCTGTGCGGGATGGGAGCTTGCTTACTGCAAATGTCATTGGTGTTTTACAGGGGATCTCCACTCTACGTGGGCATGGACAAATTGCTGAGGGGAGGCTGTTCGGCATTGAGGAACGTTTTGCTTTCACCTGAAGTTTAACTGTGTTTCTTCTCCTCCTGTCAGCCCTACTTTGAGATCCTTGGAGATCACCTAGTCCAAGGTCCTGCTCAAGCAGGGCCATCTCCAAAACTGGACCAAGTTGTTCATACTCATTTCTTTGAGCTGCGGCAAGGCTAGTGCCTGGGAACTGGCGCTGTGGGGAAGGAATACAGGGAATTACTCCATAGGGAAGTATACTATAGCTCTGAAAGGAGCCTCCTGCTTGAAGCATGAGCTGGGGTTGGGCTTTTTCACTTCCATGCGTTTTCCTTGCAAACAGGGCTGGGCAGAATAGGGCCAACCGCGTGGCAGGATGGCAGG